CTCTTGGGCAACTGGAATTCATCTTCTATATACCTAAAAACACTTATATTAGTTATATATAAATCACATCAATAGTTTTACCATAAATAGCTCTACTAACTTTTCTCTGAAATTATTTATTCCAGCTAATTTTTAATAATAAATAAATGCATTTGGTTCATTTATTTCAATCTCAATTCCATCAAAATTTCTCATTTTAGCAGATTTTTGAAAATAAATGAATGTATTCCATTTATTCTTTTCAATGCTATTTACTATATAAATTATACAAGGTAAATAATAATTATTATTAGTTTTCAACCAGACTGAATTAGTGTCTTGATCACCCATTATGGCTGATTTTTGATGATGAATGAATGCATTTTGTTCATCTATTTCAACTTCAATTCCACTAGAATTATTTTTCATTTCAGCAGATTTTTGAAGATAAATGAATGCATTCTGTTTATCCTTTCTGACTTTACTTTCTAAAGAATTGTACAAAAGTAAATCAATTATTTATTATTATTTTAACTAAAAAATATTTATTTTTACAGCAAAATATTTGAAGTGGAATAGATAGTTTAGATTAGGGATAGGTTCAGCTACAAATGGCTATAATTATTTATAGCCAATTTGCTAAATACTAAGAAGATTTTTTGTATTTAGCAAATTGGCTATGAATAATCGTAGCTATTTGTAATCGAACCCATTCCTAGTTTAGATAATTCCTACCACAATATCCATTTCATGATAATCATCCACATTATTGAAATTTACGCCTATCTCACAAAAAAAAGTAAGTTGGTAACTTTTTGCATCTAGGTCTTAAAATTACAACTTACCCTTTATGTCAATATCTTTGACTATCCTATTGCTTGTAGGAACTAAAGCTACTAAAGCTTATTGTAAGTGATCAATTTTTTTTTTTTTTATATTACATACCTTGCATTGTTGGAATTAGAATTGTCCAATCAGATGTAGGTTTTGTATATACTAAAGCTATTGGCTTTGGGCGAACAATTAGAATATTAAATAATTTGGCTATTTATGCCAGTGAAAAATTTTTTCATAACCCTATGTGGGGCAGTTTCTTAGCATATATAAATCTAGCTAGTGGACCTTCTACAGGCTATTCCTAGCAATAAAACTTTGAGATTCCAGCCATGGTTTTTACTTTTTTTTGATTAGAATTTTTTTTATTTGATCTGCTATCTTCATCATTATGATTTATTGTAATCTGTGCCAATGATATTCTTGCCAATCCCTTCACTACTTTGACTATGTCCTCACCTTCATCCAACCCGAACATATCATCTAATACTATAGCCAATCTAATATATTATCAAAGTATTAAATTGTTAGGGTCTTATTAGTTTTTATAAAAATTGATATGTGAAAAATCCAATATCACGTTTGCATGATGAGAGTTAATAGTTGTCTTAGCTTCTCTGGCTTCAAAAACAGCCATCTTTTGACCTCAATGGAGTACTACATATGCCAATGCGCTATGATAGTTATCAACTCTAAGTTGTAATAATATGCACTGTTGTTAGAAATTATAGTTATCCACTTTGGCTTTTTTTCTTATAATTCAAATACTGCC